TTCAGGCGCCCCCTGGGCGAGCAAGAGGGGCTGGCGATTGCAGCGTGGTAAGGTTAGATAAAATCAGGCCTGGTCACAGAAGGGGCCCGGCGATGCAGTTGGTAGTAGTATAACAGGGCCTGAGTCACAGAAGGGGCCGGCGATGCCATGGCTCAGGCCGGGTCACAGAAGGGGCCGCCGGCGATTGCAGCGTGGCTCAAGCCCCAGCGGTCACACGAAGGGGCCGGCGATGCGATGGCTCAGGCCTCGGTCCACAGGAAGGGGTCGGCGATCTGCCGTGGTAGGTAGATAAAGGCTCTCCGCTGGGAACGCTGTGTCGGCAAGACCATGGCCAGAGGAGGTGCCGGCTCCTGGGAGAAACAGTGTGACGGCAGTGACGGAGTCACCCGAATGTTCACCGAAAGTAAAATCAGGCACGGAGAGTGTGTCAGTTCCAAGTGGACGTGTGTGAACACAGAGACCACAGGGGCCGCTCCTTCCCATACCACTGAGCCTGTCCCTCCACGCGCCCGGGGACGACTCCTAAACCACCTTCGCCAGACGCGGGTCCAGTGGCCCACCAAGAGCACAGCTCGGGCAAGCAGCAACCACACGTACTGTGCCCTCCTCGTCTCATACAACCACAGGTGATGAGCCCTGTAGAGACGCTGACCCCCTGCGGAGACGCCAAGCCACACTGGTGCGCAGGAGGCATCTCACGTTTCGCGGGGCTGTGGGAGAGGTACCCATGACGAGAGGACCCCCACCCAACCACCTGTCACGTGAGCAGCATGAACTCGTGCACACCCTCTCGGCAGGGCTGCTGCTAAAATAACACCCTGTCGATTACCTTTGGCATCACTTCCATCAGCACAACTCCCAGTCAGCTTCCTTTTGAAAACTGCTTCAGGGAAGCTGTTCGAGAAGCCCATGCATGTCCCTGCCACAGCCGCAGGCTCTTTGGGGACACTGCTGTCAGGCTGGTTTCTGCAGAGCCAGTCTGGGACCCCACCATGTCTGCCTTTCCAGCCACTCAGTCCTTTCTCCTGGAACCTGGTCAAGCCCCTCTGCGTGACTGTCTGCACCGGGACAAGGCCCTGCCTGCCTCTACACCTGAAGCCGGGCCCCAGGGCACCTTTCCATCCACATCCGAGACCACCTTCTTAATGGTCAACAGCCACTGAACACCCCACAGCCGAGACTTCTTCCCATCGCTTTCCAAGACGGAACATTTTCAGGTTCGCCATTAAAAAATACACCCAGAAACAGGTGTGGCCACAGGTCTGTGTGTACTGGAACGTGAGTAGGAGCCGCTGTCATGGCAAATTCCCCAGCACAAGACAAGCTGAGCCACCCTGCAGCTGGTGACCTGGGAGAGCGGTCATGGAGCTCGGGCCTGGTGGGCATGGAGCTCTGGCTCCGGGGTCAGCCGGGATCTCATGAGTCAC